GTTATCACCAAAATCCTTATCTCTAAATAATTTTAGAACAGAAAATAGAACAAATGAGGAATTTGAATTAACAAGCTATAAGATGAGAGAAAAGATTTAGAGACGCATGCAGACCCAAATCACCCGAATGTGATATCAGCCTTATATGCGAGAACTCTCTTCTTCTCTTTGGGATTAAAAGATTCCTTAGGTCACAGATTACCATTTGATGAAGACACATGTAAGTCTTCGATGGATAATCTCACTATCTTTAATTCCCGAAACTTGTGTTGAGCAGAAAGAGAAGTTAGGAATTTAAGCACTAAAAGAGGAATAGATGGCTTTTAGAACTTACCTTTTTGAAGACGAGGCAGATATGAGCGACCCGAACACGGCAGAATTCCTAAACATGCAGGGAGAAGAGTTCGGCTTGAAGGTGATGAACTTTAGAGAGGGAGAATCGAGAAAAAGGCTGGAGCTTTTTGAATAAAGGAGAGTTTTCAAAAGAGAAGGGGGTATTTATATGAGACTTCTAGAGGAGTAGTGGGCTGGCCTCTAGAGGCCCAAGCCCAAGGGGCTTTTACTTCTCTAAGCTGAGCCCCAAAAATATAAAACAACAAAAACGTCCAAGTCTGGAAAAAGACCAACTATCGTGCCAAATTGATCGATCATGGGAAACCAGCGTCTCAGTAAAAAAAGAAACAGAGCTTCTGTGAAGAGACACTAGAGCCTCTGTGGAGAGACAACAGAGTCTCTGTGAAGAGACGACAGAGCTTCTGTGAAGAGATGCCAGAGCCTCTGTGAAGAGACAACAGAGTCTTTGTGAAGAGACGCCAAAGCTTCTGTGAAGAGACGCCAGAGCCTCTGTGAAGAGACAACAGAGCCTCTGTAGCTAACATCAGAGCCTCTGTAGCTGTCATCAAAGCCTCTATGGCTGTCTCCAGAGCCTCTGTGGTTATTACCAGAGCCTCTATGGCTGTCTCCAGAGCCTCTGTGGCTATTACCAGAGCCTCTGGTTGTTCAATCCTCTGGTTGATCAGGCGACCTCTTCAGAATCATACTCTGGATAAGGTTAATCCTAAAAGACTTAGTTTTTCAAATAAAGGTTCCGAAATATGGTTCTAACCTGAAAATCCAAAAGTGCAGAGTTGTTACAGGAGGACCCACATTCGCACTTAAAATCTTTTATGGAAATCACTGATGTTTTCCTGATCCCGGGAGTGTCAAATGACGCTCTCAGACTTACTTTATTTCCATTTTCATTATGGGATCGAGCAAAAGCATGGTTTAACTCTTTAACACCAGGTTCTGTGCCGTCATGGAGTAACATGGCGGAATTTTTTTGCAAAAATATTTCCCACCAATAAGGAATGCTAAGTCCAGGAACAAGATCTGTCTTTTCAAACAAATGGACGATGAGGCTGTTCCTGACACATGGGAAATGTTCAAAAGCTGTTGAGGAAATGCCCACACCATGGTATTCCGTACTGTATTCAACTTGAGACGTTTTACAATGGGTTAAATCCCATGGCAAAACAAATGCTCGATGCGACTGCGGGTGGAGCTTTCACAGCCATGACTTATAATGAAGGATATGAAATCCTAGAAAAGATATCAGCCAACAATGGGCATTGGGCCGACCCACGTGCTTAATCACATAAAAAGACTGCTGGGATACATGATGTAGATGCATATACTGCATTAATAGCTCAGCTTACCTCCATGACCAACATGCTGAAAAATTTAACTTCTGGTCAGGGAGGACAGCAAGCTGCTAACACATCTGTTCCGACAGTCCTATCTGTGCAATGTGTGTGTTGTGGCGGGGAACACTCATATGAACACTGCCCTCACAATTCTGAATCAGTAAACTATGTTCATAACAGAGCTAATCCCTATTCCAACACATATAATGCCAGTTGGAGGCAACATCTGAACTTTTCCTGGAACAGTCTCAATTTAAACCCACTAGTCCATAAACAACAAGGAACTTCTAATTTCCAACCACAACATCATGGAAACAGTTCCAACTCTCAGACTCTCCAACAAAGTTTTCAGAATTCGCAACCACCTTTTTAGACCAAACCCCCTCCACAGATAGAATCATCTTCTTTGGAAGCAATGATTAAAGGACTTTTTGCACCTGCACAAGCCCAAAATCAAGCTTTGATAAATCAACAAAGTGCGGCCATCAGGAATTTAGAGACTCAAGTCAGTCAACTTGCACTCAACCAGAACAATCGATCCCTTGGTACCTTGCCCAGTAATACAGAAGTCCCTAGAGACCTAGGAAAGGAACATGTTAAAGTAGTAACCCTTAGGAGTAGGAAGGAGTTGATAGAAAAAGTGCCCAAAGATAGTGCACCAACTTTGGCAAAGACTGATGCTACAACATTGGTTCCTGCCAAAGAAAGACTGGTCCAACCTTTAGAGAAGCAGGCATCAGAGACCACCACTTTTGTCCCCCCAAGATTAGACTATCCTTTCCTCTTTCTAGAGGATGCTTTAAAAAATTAGAAGAGACTGAGGTTTTAGAGACCCCTAAGCTTGATGCTAAGATTCCATCTGAACCTCCAAAGTGCACCACAAAGACCCAAGGCATTCAAGACCTATATTGCTCAACACCTCCAAGCAAGAATGTGATAAAAGCAGTCCCTCCTTATGTTTTTTACCCCCAAAGATTGAGAAATCAGAAAGAGGAACTGCACTTTAAAAAAATTCTTGGATGTGTTTAAAGAATTGCACATCAACATACCACTTGTTGAGGTAATTGAGCAAATGCCTAGTTATGCTAAGTTTTTGAAGGACATCCTAAGTAAGAAGAAATAGTTGACTAAATACAAGACTGTAGCCCTTACCGAAGGATGTAGTGCACTTTTGACCAATAGCATACCCCCTAAGCTCAAAGATCCAGGGAGTTTTACCATTCCTTGTTCAATAGGAGGGAAGGAGATAGGGAAAGCCTTATGTGACCTAGGTGCTAGTATCAACCTCATGCCTTTATCCGTTTTCAATACCTTAAGCATAGGTGAAGCTAGACCTACCATGGTTACACTCAAATTGGCCAACAAGTCCATTGCGTACCCTAAGGGAAAGATTGAGGATGTGTTAGTGCAAGTTGATAAGTTCATATTTCTGGCAGACTTTATCATACTAGACTTTGAGGCAGATAAGAACATTCCTATTATTTTAGAGAGTCCGTTTCTAGCCACCGGAAGAACTCTGACAGATGTCCAGAAAGTAGAGTTGACCATGAGACTTCAAGACCAAAAAGTCACATTCAATGTCTTCAACTCTCTAAAGTACCCCAATTACTTGGAAGAGTGTTATAGGATAGCTGAAATAGAGGAAATGTGCCTTGAAGAAGGAATTCAGGAAAACCTTACGTTGAAAGAAGAGTGTGATGAGGAAATAGAAGAAAGTGTTGAGGAAATAGAGGAAATAGGAACTGATATTGTCCCAATGGATGCTGCAGCATTTGAGCTGCTGGAAAATAGTGAGCAAAAAGACTTTACCCATCCATTGTATCACCACTTGATTTGGAGTTAAAGCAACTCCCATCCCATCTGAAATATGCTTTTCTAGGAGAAGAAGGCAAATTGCCTGTCATTATATCATCTACCCTAGACTTGCATCAAGAAAAGAAACTAGTGGATATGTTGAAATTGCACAAAAAGGCCTTAGGATGGACCATTGCTGACCTTAAAGGGATTAGTCCCTCTATTTGTCAACATAATATCATCTTAGAGGATAAGAATTTCACATCTATAGAACCTCAAAGAAGGCTGAATCCTGTCATGAAAGAGGTAGTAAAGAAGGAGATTTTGAAATGGTTAGACGCCGGAATTATTTTCCCGATAGCCAGTAGTTCTTAGGTTAGCCCAGTCCAGTGTGTTCCAAAAAAATGAAGGGTTCACAGTCATCACAAATGACAAAAATGAACTTATCCTCACTAGAGTTGTATCTGGTTGGAGAATATGCATGGACTATAGGAGGCTAAACAAGGCTACTCAAGAAGACCATTTTCCACTACCTTTCATTGACCAAATGTTAGACAGATTAGCCGGCAAAGAGTACTATTGTTTCTTAGATGGTTATTCAGGGTACAATCAAATAGCCATTTCTCCCGAAGACCAAGAGAAAACCACCTTTACTTGTCCTTATGGCACCTTTGCTTTCAGAAGAATGCCATTTGGACTGTGTAATGCTCCTGCCACCTTTCAGAGGTGTATGATGTCGATATTTTCGGATATGCTTTAAAAATCCATTGAAATATTTATGGATGATTTTTTTGTATATGGTTCATCTTTTGACAACTGTTTAGAAAATTTGAAAAAGAGCTTGGAAAGGTGTGAGGAAACTGATTTGGTCCTCAATTGGGAAAAATGTCACTTCATGGTCAAGAAAGGAATTATTCTTGGACACTTAATTTCAAAAAGAGGGGTTGAGGCAGATAAAGCAAAACTCGAAGTTATTGAAAAATTACCCGAACCTACAACTGTTAAAGGAATTATAAGCTTTTTGGATCATGCCGGATTTTACAGAAGGTTCATCAAAGATTTTTCAAAAATTTCGAAACCTCTCTGTCTACTCCTACAACATGACCAAAAATTTAATTTTAATGATGAGTGCAGAAATGCATTCAAAACTTTGAAGAAAGCTTTAGTTACCGCACCAGTGGTAGTGGCCCCTGATTGGAACAAACCTTTCGAGATTATGTGTGACGCGAGTGATTGGGCGGTAGGTGCTGTGTTAGGACAAAGGAAAGAAAAGGTGTTTCATTCAATTTATTACGCAAGTAAAATTTTGAACGAGGCACAAATTAATTATATCACAACAGAGAAGGAATTATTGGCCATAGTTTTTGCTTTTGAGAGATTTAGGTCCTACTTGATCGGAACAAAGGTAATTGTGCATACCGATCACGCAGCCATCAAGTACTTGATCTCAAAGAAAGATGCGAAACCAAGGTTAATAAGATGGGTGCTTTTATTGCAAGAATTTGACTTAGAGATACTTGATAGAAAGGGAGTAGAGACTGAAGTGGCAGACCATTTGTCAAGGTTAGAAGAACCTGAGATAGGAGGAATGGACATTAGTGATACTTTTCTGGATGAAAGAATCCTCATGATAGACCAACCAAAAACACCATGGTTTGCGGATTTAGCTAATTTCTTGGCCTGTGGAATAAAACCCTTTGATTACACAGGCCACATATTGAAAAAATTCTTTCATGATGCTAAATCTTATCTGTGGGATGACCCATTTTTTTAGGCTTGGTGCAGATCAAATTTTAAGAAGATGCATTCCTGAATCTAAAGTGGCAGCAATCCTGTAGCATTGCCATCGTGCACCATACGGAGGCCATTTTGGAGGCCAAAGAACTGCAACCAAGGTCCTACAGTCCGGTTTTTATTGGCCAACCATTTTTAAAGATTCCCACAATTTTGCGCAGAGGTGCAACGAATGTCAAAGGAGTGGCTCCATTTCTAAAAGAAATGAAATGTCATTAAATGGGATACTTGAAGTTGAATTATTTGATGTATGGGGAATAGACTTTATGGGTCCTTTCCCTCCATCAAATAATTGCCAATACATACTTGTGGCTGTTGACTACGTATCCAAATGGGTGGAAGCTATGGCATGTGTGTCAAATGACGCCAAAACTATGGTTAAGTTCCTCCAAAAACAAATTTTCACACGGTTTGGTACCCCAAGGGCACTAATTAGTGACGAGGGTACCCACTTTGTGAACAATTTGTTAAAAGGAGTCCTTGAAAAATACAATGTTAACCATAGAATTGCCACGACTTATCACCCACAAACTAATGGTTTGGCAGAGCTCTCCAATAAAGAAATTAAAAGCATTTTGGAAAAAGTTGTCAAACCTAATAGAAAGGACTGGACATTCAAGTTAGATGATGCTTTATGGGCATACAGAACCGCTTTCAAAACACCAATTGGTATATCTCCATGCTAGTCTATGGAAAAGCCTGCCATTTGCCTTTAGAACTTAAGTATAAAGCATATTGGGCAATCAAAGAGCTCAATATGTCTTTGGATGAAGCCGAAAAGAAATAAAAGTTACAACTTTATGAAATGGAGGAACAAAGACAAATGTCTTATGATAATGCCAAGCTTTATAAGGAAAAGACAAAGAAGTGGCATGATAACAGAATCCAGCATAGAGAGTTGAAAGAAGGACAGAAAGTCCTCTTGTTTAACTCTAGGTTGACTACTCCCGGGAAAAGCTCAAGTCTAGGTGGTTTGGACCTTTAGTCATTCATAAAGTTTACTCTTATGGAGTGGTTGACGTGGTTAACCCGGAGGACAACACTGTGTTTAAAGTGAGAAGGGCGACCGTTCGTGACCCACCTCCACGGGTCCTCATATTCCATTTACATATAATTCACATCATCATACTCATAATACTAAAATAGTATTATTACAAAACATAGACTATCAAAATGTATCTTTAATA